CTCCCTCGTTCATCAATTTCGAGGCTACACAAGTGCCGAGGTGTTAGTTTCCTTTTCACGTAAGACTACCGCATTTTCGAGCGGAGATTGCGACGTTGCGAACACGTCCTTAAAAGCAGTCTACCTGTTGCCAGTAGCCTCCATTGCGAGAGCCGCGAGCATGCTCACTGTGAACGGATTGACTTTTTGTTGTTGGTCGATGCGCGGCGAACTCCACTCTGACGACCCGTTGTGCAGTTCAAAGTCCTTTCGTCAGGCGGGGGGAACCACAACATCGGCAGGTTTAGCGATAAGACTGCACTTCCGTTCCGTCACTACAAAGATTGATATCTTTGGTAGCTTCACTTCTGCTTTTTACTTGCCGTCCTCTAACTGATGAGGCTGCAAAACACAGCCGTTCTCAGTAACGTTGTCGGCAACCAGCGGGCTCGTACGTGAGTTAGGCCTACATCGGTGACTCGGCGACCGCCGTTGACCGCGTCGAGTTCGTTATCCTCGTTGTCCTGAGCCATGTCGGGGATCTTTCTGAAGTTCACAGCGAACGAACCACCGCCAAACCCGCTTCACAAATTACTGTAGCACGGAACTTCTTTACTGCCGCAAGCGGTCAGTAGCACCATGACAAAATGGCACATGTCTGTGCGCGTCACGATGGTGAAGCAGACGCTGAAAGCGCCCCTTGGCCAATCGGGTGCCTAAATTTGGTCAGGTGCCCCAAGCAGCCAATTGAATCGCGCGCTAGTGCTTCTCGATGACGCGTTTTTGCTAAAAAACTAATGAGCAAGGTGAGCCAGCGGTGGCAGGAAATTGAAGATGAAGAACGACCCTTTCTAACGAGACCAAGATGAACACGATAGCTCGTGTGTAATGGCAACAGTTTGGCGAGAAAAAAGCACAATTTTAGCGTCAATTTGCGCTCACATTCATCTCACAGGGATGTTATAAATGGATTTTGCACCAGAAATAATGACGCGAGAAGCTAGAAACTTCTCAGATAAGTGCAAAAATAGGTGCAGATTTCAAAAATGTCAGCTTGAAAAAGTCGATTTTTTGAGATTTTTGGCCTTCTAAGACCCGTGTCCCCCCTTAAGCCATGACATTATGATAATTGCATGTTCTGACACTTGATGGCAATGCATGCTTGTACTACACAATATCACTGCTATACACTCTGTGTGGGCCCTGTAACGCCTTGAAAGGCACAAGCAGCACCACTTGTGGTGTGGCGGGCGCGAAAATTTGAGAGTCGTAGCAGACAGCAGCGCCTAATTGCTTTGATAGCTATGGTGGCACAAGCGCCCGTGGCCAGCGGGTTAGTGCATGCTTCGAGCAAAATTATTTAAAGATATCGCAGGGGGACAATCTTCGCAGTGCCACCATAAATAAATAAAAAACTTCACGATTTTTTTTTTTTTTTTGCGTTAGTGAGCGCTTTGCTGCCTGTTGCCAGGAATGACTGCTAAACGCGTGTGTCAGGTGTGCGTAATGCATGAGGGCAGCTGCATAACTATCGCGGCAATCTGTCATTCTTTCGAACTTAGATTATTATCGGTGCTTGCCCACTGCCTGTGTACTTGCAAAATACTCGGAGCGTTTAGAAATATCAATGGCTCCACGGCCACTCGCCATGGAAACTGGCGTGCTCATTTGTTGCGGTGTAGTGTCACGGCCATTTTCAGCCACCGAGTTTCGCGAAGTGCTTTGTTTGAAATTGTCATGGCATCATCGTTGCTCATCATGATCATAGTCTTTACCTTGCTGCTTGCACAGCTCATGCTAAAAGCTTGAGGCGCGGGCGAGAAAGAGAACGCGAGAAGATTTAGTCCAGAGAGGACAGCGCATGCCCCGTTCAGTCTTTCAGTTCACCTTGTAGAGTGCTGACAACGATGGCACGGCCACTTCGGCCACCGTCACGTGTCTCTCATTCACTATAACCTCTTGCGTTATGTTGCTTTCCGAAACAAACACCGACATGCACATCCGTCACTATAGCAGTCGCAAAGCATCGTTTCTTGCCATGTATGGGTCTGCTATACTATACGCCCTGCATCATTTCTTCCTAACATGCAGATTGTTTAACAGTGAAAAAAAAAAGGGTTTTGAATGAACCAAATCCGAAAGATGGGATTCAATTCATTACATCCGTCGGTTAATTCTTTTGGAATTACAGAACTTTGTTTTAGACACAGGAGCGTTTGGGATGCCATATGCGATTCGCTACGTGAGACGAAACGAATTGAATTGTAAGGTTATGTAAGTGATACTTTTTCTAGAATGACATGTTTTTTCTTGTTAATTAAGCTAATTAGTTATTTAGAAAATGATCTTTCGCTAAAGATTTCGAGATTTATAAACAATATCATTTATATAACAAGGCATCGCCCATTTCATGGTGCCTTGCGAGAGTTTAATAAGGACCAATTAACCAACTGACGTACCACCTTGATCCTATCGAGTGCACATATGCTGCCGGGTGGCTACTTGTGTTTACGGCAAAATGCTACGTAATTCAGTTTGCCCCTTCACTGGTCCATCATCAACTCAGGGAAGCACAAATTGACCTCGCATTGCATACCTCAAAACCGCGAATGGCACTTGGCAAGGTAGTAATTATTAAGGTCCATTAAAACGTCCCATCACTCTTGATCTGAAATAAAATTTCTTGCATGCGCTTCTTTTCTCACCAGCTCTATGGCAGCAAGAACATCATGCAAGATTGTCACACATGCAGAGGCTGCCTCAGACCAATTCAAGCATACATCAGAAGAATGCGAGACGGCAGAAGAAATGGGAACTAAACACCTTTTACGTCCCACAGCCATGATCCACTTATTTCGCTGCCTAATAAAGCAAGAACAAGTGAAAAAACTCTGAAACTTCGTTCCCGCAAGACACGGCACATACCTGTTAGTACAATCGACTAGGCAGCAGTTCACGATTCAGATAAACTATGTGATAACGAACGTTGGGGGAGTCTTTCATTCTGCTCGGGCTGTCAACGTTTGTCTTCTCTCACGGCTGTGCGGCGGCACGCCAGTCTCAGTGCACGGAATCTATATTACATGTTGTATTCTGAAGTCTGTATAAAAGACGCATGTGTTTGTAAAGCACAAATGTTACTTTCACTGCATTTGCAAGTCAAGGAAGTCATTTCCACTGTATTTCTCAGCAGATGCATGGCTGTATGGTAGAACAAGTGCTTGCCACTGTGGGGATCTGAGGCGTGCCAACGGCATTGCATTGGCATTTCGCCATTATGTCGGTCTCCTAAATTTCTCTCAGACCATGCTCTTGTAATGGCAGCGGCGATAAATGGCACCGCGTGCTGGTTCTCATGGTGGCGATGCGCGTGGTCTCTGGCCACGATAGAGTCACGTGCATGTGCATGCCGTGGACGCTTGCTTGAACAGCACACTGTCTGCACGTGTTTTTCCTCCTTCCAATGTCCCCTCCAAACCATAGCCTGCCTTGGCATCCTTGGCAAGTGCATTTACCTAGCCTCCCTGCCTTCCCTCGTTTCTCTCTGTTTTTGTGCTAGCGCGTGTTCGGTACAGTAGGCGAAACAGCAGTGCTTAGTACTCATACCTGGTTGTACTACGCTGAGCCGCACTTCCCAGAGTCCAACGTGTACTAGACTTGCTCCAGCTTTCGTGAGCAGGCCCAGTTGTCATCGCAAGAGTGCGCAGCATAACAGCAAGAGACCTTTCTCGAGCAGCGTGCCAAAGCATTGGCAGCTGAGACTTGCTCGTGATTTCCCCTTTAGTGTACATTCGCGTGCAGTCCTTTGCTCTCCCAGTCCCAGGAGCAAATGTTGGAATGTGTTTGGGATGCTGCCAAAGCCAATAAAGTGTTCGTGTGTTGTTAGTTCAAACACCATGTTTTTGCCGTGTGGTGGCACTAAGCGCTTGGTTAGTTGAGCGAGCACAGAGCGATGTGCTATGTGTGAGCCGACAACGGTACACGCAGCCCTGTGGCTTGGTAAGCCTATACCTGCAGTAATTTGACTACGTTAAATAGCGAGGTTACCACACCATGCAAACTGCCTGCGTTTGATCCTAACTCACACCCGAAATTTTTTATGATTTAATTTATTTGCCTCTTTAATTTTTCGGTCACACACATGATTTTTCACTCGCAACGATCGAAGCCCACGCCGGCATTCTAGCGAAACAAGCTCTTTAATGCTAACGCGTAAACACCGCTCGTCATCTTGTGCTTTCTCCCACGATTCCTTGTTATGAATCCTAGTAATTATGAATTGCTACCAACTAGGCCAGCTGTATGTTCTAAACTTCAATGATTTCTTATATTACTAATTACATTCACTTCGACTGCCATACTAGCAGCATGCATTTTTCAGCTCAACAGTCTGCTTTTGGCCACCTGTAACACACTTGCGACTAGAAGAATTCGACTTGAAGGTAACGACGGCACACCAAGCAAAAGATGGTTGCCCATAACTAAATGGCTTCAGACAAAATATATGATTTGTGGTCCCACAACATCGTCTCTCTGCCCCTTTCCACAAAACCTTACGTTGCCTCCACATAGAGCCTCCCAAGGATGATATTGAGAAACAAGGGGCAACAGTCAAGCTAAGGCAGACTGCTAGACTCTACCGGTGCCCGGCGAGTATGCACAGCTAACATTTTGAAACACTACTCATATAGCATTCAATGACATTGCCCACCACATCACAGTAGCGCGTTTTGCACTGAACACCAGAGCCCCTTTGCTTCCCTACCACTTGAGATCGGGCATTGCCTTCTGTCTGAGTGCCATTAGAGGCAAATGAATGATGTTAAACAGAGAAGGCGATGCAGTGTTTTGCTGCACAGCGCTGAACCGCAATGCAGGCTGAGTGCTATATAACACCAGGTGACAGCCAAGATAGCCCGGACGCTCGCTGAACCCGACACAGGTGTGGTTTGTACTCCTGTGAGGAAGGGCGCCAGCCCAATGTATAAAGGATGGGCAGTGTAGTGAGAAATACAGCCTACCTTGCAGGTGATCTTAGCCAGCCAGTCAGGCACAGTTGTAGCTGGAGATGGAGCCTGCGTGTCCGGAAAGACATCTGCATGGAAGTCCCTGTAGGTCTAAAAGGAAAGAGATAGGATTCATTAGCACAACAGAATAAGCCAAGAAGAATGTCACTTTATGATCGTCTCGTGCAACACAGTGTGATAGCGCCTTTTTTAAAACTTTTTTCGCTTCGTACACACCATATTTTTACCGTGACCGTGCCGGAAGGGTTCGTTGTAAAAGTAGGAGGCTTTCAACAATGTTCGCTGTATATGGACTTAGTTTCAAAGGGTAGCATAGAAAAATCGTAAATGCACCGAAATATGGCCATTATAACCAATAGATCCTTATATCTGGGAACGTTATGAGTGGCTTGGACTGTATACCGAATTGAGAGAGTCAATGAATTTACTTCATTGTGCCCATGATCGCATTTCATTCGGTCATCAGCCATTGAGGTGCAATAATAGGGCAATAACGTAAATCATAACGTTTGTGAAATAGGAAGGCATTCACTATACCATCATTTATCATTCTTCGGAGATTTAAGAAGCGTGGTGCCTGCTACACACATGCAAAAAATTTTGGGCAATTTTATTATGCTGAGGCTGATGACAAAGAATTCTGCCTTAACCTTTGGTAATGGGTTGGACGACTCACTCGTCACGCAATTCGCATTGTGTGATGCTTAATTGTTTCTTTTGTATTCTAAACAAAGTTATTACTCATATTAACGTGATTCCTTTCCCGACATGAAGCCTACTGAGGGTCAGTTTGCAATGGAGTTTGCGACCGGCAACGGCGGGGCGGACAACTACTGCACCAAAAATGACTTGTTGCGACCTCATAACATGCTGTAAAGAGGTCACTGAGTGATGTCAAAATGCAATACGAAGTTTCAGGATTTGCACAGATCCTCTGTTCAGAGTGGAATGACAGCTGAACAGATGTTCCTTAAGTATCATTCGATGCACGATGCAATGTTCAGAAGCATGTATTTATCGACAGACTATCACGACATGGGGACTTCATCATCAACACAAAAGCATGCCAATGCCCTGAACATTTGAGCTGCGAGTGAAGCCCTAGCTTGCGTTTCTTAGAAAACGTGATGTGCAGAGCATATGTCCAGCAAGGAAGCTTAAAGGACCGGCAACTGCACAGAACGTGAAATGAGATGACTACACTGATGAAAAGATTGTCCCTCATAGTGACTCAAACCAACCCTATTTTTCTCGTGACAAGTGGAGTAGTATTTTTATTTCTTCATTGAAAACCTTGAATATAGCCTGTGGCGCCACCTAATGGCAGAAACTTCAATTATCCGAGCTGCTCTGCCACGTGACCATGAACTAGTGTACGTGGTCGACAATTTACTTGTTAGTATTGAAATATTGTTTGCTTATTTATAGTTAAAGATATTGCTACATAAAAATGTACTTATAGACCTGCGTTAGTGGTGCGCAATAAAGTGGTGCTGCCTTCGCATGGCATAATGATCCAGTGTTTGTCATCGTGTTTTGAGCAACTTTTCTATGTGCTCATGGAACCGTGCAAGCTCTTTCCAGGTCCCCAACATTTCGGAGTGGCGTGGTTTTTTACCTACACTTTGTCTCAGAAATGACGCGCAGTGATGTTTTCGGTGACTTGACTTGGCTCGTGTGCCGAGAGAGTAATGACGATGGGACAAGCCATCCACGACATAGGCGCATCAACCTTGGGCGCAGGTGCACGCAACACGGCACAAACACAAGGAAGCTGTATAAAGCCACATCGTTTTATTGTAACAGCTTGTTGTTATTTTGAAAAGTAGTTCTAAAGTTCAGAATAAACGTGGCTAAGCATAGTTACAGAAACCCCTCCAAAATCAAAACAATGACAGCTTGCACAAGTCACTAGAAGGGATACCGGCATCGCTATCAAATCTCAGCATTGATGGACAAAAAAGTATGTCAATGTTCAGACCCATTCAAATCGAAAAATACTGCTTATAAAATAACTACGTGCTTTTGGGAGTAACTACTACAGCAGCGAACACTGCGAAGGGTAAGCTTCCGGTCACGCCGGAAAAAAACTGTGTCAACAAAATCAGTTGCCGGTCCCTTTAGTTTTCTTAAATGTAAAGGATCCTTTGCCTCAGCAATGTTTTCCTGGCATGGTCCACAAGATTTCCTGCACCGATCGCAAATCGGCATGTTGAAAGTATAAAATCTTGCAGGTGCCTCAACAAGCACAAGAACGATGTCGCCAAGGGCTAGACACTTGCCAAGAAGATGGATGACCAGGGATAATGCGTGTATCGTGACAGTGAACGAAAATTTGACATTTTAGAACAACAGAGAGCTGAGCTAGTCTGTACATGTACATTCTAAAAAAAAAAATGGACACAAAGGTCATGACACCACAACACTCATTAGAGAGACTGAGAACTCCGTCTTGTTTCCGTGTTTGCATGCCCCGTTTCTTTTAGAATGAAGAATTTGACAATGAGGCTCAACAGCGTATTACCATTAGTTCAGTCAAGCAACACAACAGATCATCTGGAGCATTAATCCACGCGTACTCCCGAACACTGGATCGAATCATGCTTTTACCACTACTTAAACCAGCTCTCACTCCACTGTGACTGAGGGATCTGCACGAATTCCAAAACATCATTTGGTCAGTGGCCTGTTCCCAGAGTGTATTGGTAGTGCCCTTGAAATGGCTCACCTTGCGGGGCACCTGGTAGGAGATGGGCACAATGCAGTCTTGGCCAAGAACGAGCACTCTGTTCACTTCGCCATCCATCACCTTCAGGGCGCGCTTGGGCACCAGGCCCACTCCTTTAGTCTGCACTTCACCCATGTACTTGGATGCTGCAAGGCCAGCCACCACTGCTCAACAACTCATCTGCAAACCTCAAGACTGAACAAAGCTTCTACAGCACCATTCAGTTGGTCAGATCAGTTCCAGCATTGAAGCAACATAGCAGCCAGCACCCATAGAATATCCCCATGTCTCTATGAATAAATTAGTACATTATGGTGCTTGCACATTGCCCTCTTTGAAATGTAACTGCCATGGCTGACAAGGCTGCCCACATATTCAATTTTAAAAACGAGACAGCCTACCAGCCAAGGTACTATAGCCAATGAGATTAAACAAATTATATAGTATAATAATTGATGAGGTTTAGTATCCCGAAATCACGAAGTGGGGGGCTCTGTAAATTTCTACCACCAGGGGTAATTAAACACGCACCTATTTTTATGTACATGGGCCTCAAGTGCCTCCAACAAAAATCTGGCCACCGATGTTGGGATTCCATCCCACGACCTGCAGGTCAGCAGTTCATCACCACAACCACAAACCAGTGGTGGATGTTTGAACAAATTAATGGGTAGAATGCAATGATAGTGTGCAGTACTTCAACAGTGCCAATGCATTTCATTGTGGTGCATTCCTTTCTATCCTCAACAGTAGGCTTGTTCAAATAATGAATTTTAGGTTCGAGACAAGTCAAAGCGAATTCAAATAGTAGACATATTGCATATTATGAAGAAAAATGGGCACAGTTATCATGACCTAACTAACCTGTACAATATCTTTAAAAAATTGAAACAAGGCCTACGCTAATGCTATTGTTTCGCATCCAAGAAAGTGGAAAAAAAAACTTTGAATACTATCCAAATTTCACTTCCAAATAGCCTGTAAAATATCACACTTGTTAAAATTAGCTATACCTTTAGCATATAAGTTTGTATAACAGGCTTTTAAACTTGACTGATATGTAGGGTTTAACCTCCCAAAACCACCATATGATAATGAGAGACACCGCAGTGGAGGGCTCCGGAAATTTCGACCACCTGGGGTTCTTTATGGTGCATTCAGACGACGGACCGAATCCGGATTTGTCGTGGACGCGGACAGCTAATCCGCGGATGGTCCGCCTGCAGGCGCATCCACACGACGGACGGTGTCCTAGGGGAAAACAGCCGGATTACCCTCGACAGCAGATTCGGCGCTCACCTGCGCCCGCTGGCAGCAGACCGGTTTGAGAGTATTCAACATGGATGCCCGCAAGAAGCGAAGCTTGGCTGCGATGTCTGTCGTGTTGTGACAAATGAACGAGTAGTGTTATTATTTCAGGAGAAAAGGGAGTTGCTAGCAGGATATTATTTCAACTACATTATTCCCCACTTGTAGAACTTCTAAACGTGTCTCCCGCCTTTTTTTTTAGAAGCGGCACGTCGCCGGTTGCAAAAGTTGGAATATTTCACCACCATGACGGCTAAGAATCTCGCGTGTTAAGCGACGGCGGCGACATTTCCCGAACCACCAAAAGTGCTTTCTGCATATTTAATCACCTGAGAACAAAGTCTCCGGAAACTAAGTAAACAATGCTCAAGCGTAGATGATGCCGACCAGTCATGCAGCTGTCCGCGAGCCATGGAGGACATGCCGCGAGCAGACGAAAAGTGTACTGGTTGCCACCGATCCCAAGCTATTCCGCTGAAGTACCGGCTCTCCCCCGCCAGAATCCCGATGTGAGAAACAGGTTGGGTTCATCCGTCCGCGAGCCGCGCGGACGAGTCGCGGACGAGGGGAATCGCTGATGTGAGGTCACGTGACGCGCCGTCCGTCCCGCCACATCGGGATTCGATCCGTCGTCTGAATGCACCATTAACGTGCACCCACATCTGAGCACGCGGGCCTACAACATTTCCGCCTCCATCGGAAATGCAGCCGCCGCAGCCGGGATTCGAACCCGCGACCTTCGGGTCAGCAGCCGAGTACCTTAGCCACTAGACCACCGCGGCGGGACAGGCTTTTAAACTTGAATGAATCGATGCGAGGGTAATATCCTCATTTAACATTGAAGTGAGACTTTGAGGCAGTGCAGATTTCCCCTGAATAAGTGTTCTCACGGTTTAGCACCACTTTACTGCAGTAAAATCAGCTTTACAAGGTGTCACATGCAGATTAACATGCATCTATTCGTTGGCTTCGAATCATTCCGAATTTTCCATAACTTAAATTCTATTCGAAGTGAATTCAAATACTGCATTATTCATTTGGATATTCAAATATTTGCACAAGCCTACTAAACAGGCAGCAACCTGTTTTTTGCATTGGCATTTTACGAGTGAGCACAGGCAAAAACACAGCTAGATACCTTGTCAATTTTCATTCTTGCTCATTGCATTCTCCTCGCAAGGAGCAACTTCCCAAAATGCTCTCTACAGGTTCGTTTGTCTACACCGTCTCTTTACGTGAGACAAATGGGGCGTTCTTCAAATGACTGCTAAGAGAGCAGCGATATAATCACTTCCCACGAAAAGAGGGAGCTTGATCATTGTAAGCGGTGAGGGTGCATACCAAGTATTTGGTACCCCTTGGTTCCGGAGGCCAGAGATTTGTGAGGCCATGTTCATACATAGGGAGGCAGATAGGTGCATAAGCATTTCTCCTTACAAAAAAACTTCTTGGAAAGGGTGCATGCACAATGCATGAGTAGCTTGCACTGATGGCACAATGCTGACATTACCATCAACTTGGATTTTTTTGTTGCTTTTCACTTTATATTTCACATGTCCAGAGCAAAATTTTCAGCTGAGGCCAAGCAATCATTCTGTGTACATCTTTCTCTGTCCTTGTTTTGTTCTGCTATATTATGTAGGTTCAAATTTCAGCTTTAGTTGTATAATTTCCTGCGCTTATATTGGTATTCATTTTTGCTTTTCGGGAAACTTCACGGTTTAATCCCACACATATTCTACCACGCTTGCAGGGTGCCAGAAATATTTCTAGACCATATCTGTTGCCCACGTACTCAGGTTTTATGCAATCCTGGGTACATACAGTATGCATACGGCACACAATATCGTATGTAGTGTGAATACCATATGCACAAACAATAAACAAAAAAGTTTGATTCTAAATCCACAAATAAGACTTCAAAAATTTAAGTGTAAATCCAGTAAGAACGAAAGTACACGTGAGGTAGATCAGCATCACATAAAACTGTTACCCACTCAAGTAAACTGCATTCTACGAACAGCTTTGGCAATGGGCCTTCTGCGCTGCTAGTATAGGGGTAGGTTATTATGTACTGAGGGTAGAATGATGACTACGGTATATAATGTACAAAGGGACATAAAGTCGAACCCGTTTATAACGAACTCGAAAGTGCCACAATAAATGGTCGTTATATCAGTAGTTCGTTGTATATGGGCCCACCCATAAAAACATTCACTTAGCGGCCAGGCCAGGTTTGGCCACTAAGTGCCTCAGCTGACAAGTTAGGCCTTCTCGCGTGTTAAACGATGCCCATTTGCTCACAAGCAAATTCAACCATGTTCGTTATGAACTAGCGGTATTTCACTGAGGCACTGTACCAACATGTCGAACCAACCACCCTGGCTAGTTGCGTGCAGCACATCGGTTCGGCTCTTTCCATCGCATGCTAGTTCACTTCCAGTCCAATGTATGCGTGTGTGTGCTTTCTTCGCGCATGCTTCACTCTGGATCGTGCTCGAGTGCGGCGGGTAGCCTGTTCATTTAAACGCAACGAACAATTTTGCAAGCAAACACAAGTGGCCTCGCATGATGTAGCGGCAGTGAACTTGCGAACAGCAGCGTGACGCACTTGTACTACCGTGCCTTCGCCGAGCAGCTTTCTGCAGAGGGCTTTAATAACACTGCCTGCAATGAGTCCAATGGCATGTTCACCACCACTGACCACCTCGCCATTACTCTTTTCTGATGCTTGTTCATAAGCGCGTTGCCACAACTGCGTAGAAGTTGCTATTATTACTAACCGACCGGTCCCTGCTATTACCAAAAAGTAGAAAATCTTTTGAGGCACATTGGTGTCGGAGAGTTGGGCGTTGCAGTGAACTTTTATGTGACAAGAGTTATTGCTTCTAGCATTTATGGCTTCTTGCGTTCGAAGGCATTATCGGTTAATCGTCGGTGGTCGTAGATGCCGAAAATGCCATCAAAAAAGTTTGCCGTGCGAAAACTGACTGCAAATTTTCATGTTGCCTCCTTTTTTTTTTTTTTCTCTCTCTTTTTCCCACTTCCATTCGGCCAGTGGAAAAAAAAACATCTGGAAAGTAAGTGACTTTGCTCGCAACATTCGAAATTTGCGTACGGTGCTCGCCGTGGTTTATGATATCTTTGTCGAAAGTAAACTGCACCGGGGCCCAAGCGAGCGCGTGCCTATCCCATGCTTTATAATTTATACTGTTTTATCATCATGCTTTAGAAAGCCTGCTCTAACGTTGTTTTTTTTCCCTTTGTGTGCGCCATATTTTTACCGGAAGTTGTAAAAGTAGGAGGCTTTGAAAAATGTTCACTGTATCTGGACTCTGTTTAAAAAGGTAGCATAGGAAATTCAAAATTGCACCGAAATATAGTTGTTATAACCAATAGATCGTTATATCTGGCATTGTTATAAGTGGGTTGGGCTGCATTTCTAAAAGTCTATTTTTTTTCTGATGTGCATAACCATTTGGTTGCTTGTTCTGAGCATGTATCACTGAACAAGCATGGGTGACAACCAGTAGTTCATCACTGATTAACATCTTGTTTCAGCTCTTTACCGTTTGTCATGTCTACAGATTCCAGGCAATGAACAACAGAGTCTAGAATTCAACATAAAGTGTACAAGGTGATTTTGGCCAAGCAACACATCGCACACAGGACCTATTTTATCTCATATTGCGTCACTCGTAGCTGTCGGGTAAATTTTCATGCATATGTGGTCTCTGGGCTTCAATTCACAAACACACTAACGAGTGAAGAACAAAAGTGCAGCTTTGTACTCAACACAGCAGAGAACTAACAGGCATACTGATGTCCATTGCCTACCTCTTACTTGTGTGTTAGTCTATTTGGAGCTAAAGTTTTCTAGCAAGCAAGCTCAAAGATTGATAACGCTCATCTGATAATGCTCATCGCTACCAAAATGAGGCCACATATGCAAGCCAAAGATTTCCAAAGGAATAGCCTCACCTTCGCTCAGAAAGGGCTCTTTGAATGTGACCTCCCAAAAGTTGACTGTGGTGTCACCCTGTGAGAAATGCTTATGGTAAGTACCTAAAGCCTCCTTCCTCCAACATTAACAAGCCAACACACGCATGAAAAAATTGAATGTTCCAGCTGGTTCACATGTGTGTGTTTGTGCAGCCTCCCCACCCCCCTATTAGAAGTTATTCACACAAAGGATGCGATTATGGATAAATTAAAATAGCTCCACATTCAGCACTCAGATAACAGGGTGTCATTTGATGTCTTTGCAACGACTAAAGGGCCATGGGATTGTACGATGTACGGGACACACAATACATCGGCTTGGCTCGTGATTTGGTCCATCAGGCAAATACAGCTCAACAATGCTTCTTTAATACTTCTGCTTAAAAGTGAACCTGCACTTGAATATACGAGAAATAAGGTCTAAGCATGCAGAGTTTGTTGTCACATGCAAAGGACGTGAGTGAAACAAAAAATTTTACTTGGAGAAGTTTTATCTGTGCAGCCATGATCATGCTTTAACATCATTACACACTCATTCAAAGCCTTACACAGCTGCTATGGCTTGCACTAAACTTGAACTTTGCACGTATGATTGCACGAAATTCGCTTCTAGGTATAACCAGTGAAAAATTATAAGATTATTTGGAGTAAAGAAGCAGGTACCTTAGCAGCCAGGAACAGCATGTTGGTGTCGGGGTCATACAGTGGTATGTAAACTCTAGAAGAGGAAAAAAGTTAGGTGCACTATAAATGCAAGCCCAAGCAATGTGCCATTAGAAAGACACTACATGCCTGTGTTGTGAGCAAAAATAATATTACAGGTGTCCTAAAGTAACCTGCAGGCTGAACACACTGCAGTAATTGAAATTCAACCACAGAGTGCCACATAATGGCTTGCATGCATTTATTGGCATGGTCTTGGCAAAGTTATTATTACTGACAAGAGTAGCACAATAAAAGCTTGTCCTGGCATGAGCAACCAGCGTTAGTACTACCTATGCTACTTGCACGCAGTGCCTGTGATGAGGACAAGCAAAGAAAGCTTTGTTGTAGCAAACTACAGACAATTTTCAGGCACCTCAAGAGGGCCATCATTCATTTTCTTGGTGTGCACTATCACCGCTCTTCATATAACGGAGCCAGACAACACGAATAAAATCTTTTACTTTGATTTTAATGTCATCCAGCACTTGCAAACCAGCCCCACTGCAATGGATACACTGGGTTTGCAAAGTATGCGTCTTCTATGTAGCCTAAAGCAGTCTCTGGACGACAATTGACTCATTTATGTGAACTACGTGTGGTTGACAGCAAACGGGCAGCTGTTGCTGGTATGTCCCGAGTTGCCGTTTTCCCATGAAGTCAGACCCCTCTTGACACCTGTAACTGCTAGTCTCCATATTGAAACTAAGATCACTCTTTCAAAGCATTCAAATATATTTAATGCATTACCAAGCACCAAGACACTTTTAAGGATTCTCGACACCTGCATTTTTATTTAGATTAGCAATCTGAAATTATTTAAAATTTGTGCCAGTACTTCTTTAACTCTTTTGTTACCGCACAAAAATTGTTAAAATTGACATGTATCGGGAAGATAACTTTTTTTCAGTTAAAAAAGTACTTCAGCACGCATTGCAGCATACCAAATTTTTCACAATGCAATCCTCTTTCCAAAAAGTATATATTATAGAGCAACGGAAATGTTATAAAAAACTATGAACCATCTTTCCGAAGGAAACCCTGGATGCGAAGCAGCAGCTGTGCGCACGGCGTTGACTCTGTGGAAACGGGCGTCGACGCGGGTACTGGAAGAACCGTTTGAAACGAAACTGTGTGTAGCATTTACTCTAGTAAACGTTTGAAATGCAAATACACGGGTGGGAGACGCGTTCAAGACGCTTGTGCTGGCTTCCTTGGCTCGCATCTCGGTGTTACCCGCACGCCATCTGTATCCTCAAACGCGATCGGTGTTCTTGACTCGCATCTTGTCAGTCTTCCACTGCCAACGCTTGTGTTCGGCTTTCCTGACTCGGGCTTCGTCGGTGGCGACGTAGCTATTCGCTAACACGTTAGGCTTTGCTAACCCTTGCAACGCTGGCAGCAGCTTGGAAAGGTACACGCACACTAGCGAGAAGCATGCCGCGACAGCGTTTCGCCCATCGGCGCGATCACGCGGCAAACAGCAGCGCCCTGTCCACACTGTTGGCTTCGCACGTGCCTCCACCAGCTCGCGGTTTCTTCTCGTCGACAGACGGACAGAGGTGGTGCGGGTGAGATGATGCCCACATGAGGAGTGGGCTCGAGCGTTGCGAGCAGTGGAGAGAATGAAGCGAGAGAGACGTCACCGTGCAATGCTAGGAGGGTGTGAGCTACTAGGCATGCTTTAGCACCTGCAGTGAGGCGAGCAGTGCGGACAAAAGGACAGCGTTACACAGGCTACTCAAAGAGCTGCTTCGCATCTAAGGTATAGAAAGTAATTTTTGGTTGCCAGGTTATAAACTCCTAACAACACCTCTGTACTGATAGCTGGCATAAATTTCTGGCAATTATTACTGCTTAACACAGATTGAGAAGCTGACACCTGTAGGAATTGAGGCTAACCCAACGCTGTTGTGCGGGCTTGGCCACCTATTTCTGCCATTCTCATGTCCTGGCATGACTCTCCCCTCCTCCGTGGTCGATCGTGCTGGGGAAGCAGAAGTGACCTTAATCCCTCTCACCCGGTAGTGAAGTCGACTGTGGCGCCACGCGCAGTCTCTCGGGACGTTACGCGCGAGTGTCGGGAGTGAGTCTAATCTTTCCGGGACAACTGAGGATGAGCACGCATTTTTTTTCCCGTCTGTCGGCTCCTATTGTTTGGGGCTCGTCGGACTTTGCCAATGGCGCCTGGCACCCGCAGTGAACGCTCACTTTTTGTTGCCCCTTTCGAATGCTAGGCCGAAGGGCGGTGCGGTGTCTGAGCGTGGTCGTACTACGCCGAACCGTATCTCTCGAAGCCAACGTGAGCAGAGTTTTGCCCTCGCTCGAGTGACCGGGCCCTGTTGTCGCTGTGTCCCCGTGAATCACTTTTGCCCACAGAGACGTGCTGCGGTACCCTGTGTAGTACTTTTCGCCTGTGACGTGGATAAGCCCATTTGCTCTCCCGCCGCCCCTTTTGCAACGGGCACTGTACTGCGTTTTTTGGTGTTGCCGCAGGCAATAAAGTGTTGCAACCTTGAGCAGTACTGTGTTCTCACCACGGTGTCGTTTAAACATGCCCTGCGGCTCGCTAAGACTGGATTCATACTAGTGGCCGTACTCCTTTGGGATACGTGTACACTACACACCTTAATTTAATATTTGTCTTACAAAGGTTCTTTTGATTACAGAACTTTGATGTTGTTATAGCATAATCACGAGGGGGACACACTTTTGCTAAGTTTGCCAGCCAAGTTCATTTTCCTAACACATTAGTTCACGGAAAGGTTGTGGGGTTCTGTTATGTCGCCGCAGCCTACTGGCCACAGCACGAAAGGAACAAACGTTTACACGCTTCGAGAACAGGCAAAGGAATGACGTTTATTATCTGCAGCAGTGTTAATAAAAGATAGTGGTGGGGGGGGAGGAAGGAAACAGAAGAGAATTTCACACGTGCCCAGTGGACAGCCAGTCTGTGACACAGCTACCGATACAACAGGTTCTGAGGTGCGTCCGCGATCATTTCGCGGGCATTTCCATCGTACGGCCGCTCCCTGTCCTCCTCCCATGTTTTGGTGATGGTGCGTGGCCACAGATGATGCCACGCGCAGCACGTGTGCTTCTCCTGTGTTCCGAGTGCTACAGGACCCATAAGGAGAACATCAGTGAGTCGCACTTTTACAACAACAGTACTGGCAACAGCCTCCTATTCGAGGCAAGCGCTGGTACTGATGACTGCTATTCGCGCTCTTGAGTACCGCAGAAAGTTCGATGATGTTGTCAACAGCCTTTCCACAGCCTTCGATACGGAGACCAAGATGCAAGGACACCTCATTCTTTGCTACAAGAGACTTCCCACTGCTCCGGTGGAGGGTGCAACCTTCCCACAAGCGCTAGAGTTTCTCGATGCAGATGACAACATTGACGATGAGGGGGCACGAGGGTTGGTGGATTCGTAGGGAGCACGCAAAATATTCGTATCATTCTGAATTCGTATGAACCAAATCAAGTTAAAGCTGATCATACAGATGAACAAGAAATTAATAGGGGTCAGCTATTTTGGTGAAAAAGTACATGTTTTTCTGAACTTCTCTGCCTTCAATGTCTCTCAAGAAAGCCACCTGAAAGGAACAAAATCGGGCCGCTGTTCCCTCAGTCATGCTGCTGCCGCTTAAGGCGCACTCACACTTCGCCTTAAAGGGACACTAAAGTCAAATAACAATTTATCTCAGAGTGAAAGCGCAATGCATGACAACATCTAAAACGACAATACTATCAACAGCAGCGCCCTACTTAAAGGGAAACAGGTAAATTCAGAGGAATATTTATGTCGCAGTAGGACATTCTCAAAATGATCCGGATGACATCAGACAAACTGCTTACATTTAATCACTAGTAATCGATCTAGCTAGACTAAAAGAACCTTTCGTGCATCAAGAGAAGTAATCAAATGCTGCTTGTTCGTTTCTGTTTGATTCATGGAAAAATGAACTGCCAGACGTTACTATGGGGCATAGCGCAAGAGGTTCAAATATTCAATTTCACCTGGTTAAATATGTGGGATCTGAAAATGGAGAGCACCACGCCCTTGGATTAAACGAACACAGCAGACGCGGTCGGTCCAAACCAAACCAAACATTTATTTAACTCCTTGTAGAACGACGATATCGTCAGCCAAATCATTATAACATCAATTGTGATCAATACGCGAAAACAGCCTTACACAAAATTACACCACACTCAACAACATAACCAACACAATAACATACCCAAGGCGGCGTGACCAACGCTTGACTTGCCACAAGGGCCCACTGTGCGCAACCCGCGGTGCCGTGCATTGGGCACCCACGCTAGAGACAACCATTCGCGACAACCACCACCAGCCAAAGAGACTCGCTTAGCTCTCTCGTGCCGCCACCAAGGCTTGTTGCTAAGGTTCACCGCCGGCACTACCAATCTAACCATGATGTGTGTGGTGATCAACGCTCGTGAACACAACGCCACCTACAGCTCAATAGTTGTGACCCCCGAAATACGGCTTCTGCATGAGAAACATGCGCAACACGGCACGAACAACTTTACAGGAGGTGTCAGCACCCCCACAAATTGCACAGGTCGTGCCGTCTAGTGGGGCCCAGTTGAATCAAGCATGCCTGCAATTTTGAAGGCCATGGCTTAAAATTATTAAATAGCCGTTGTTGCCGCTGTGGCTCTCGCGCATTAAAGCCGGGCAACATTGTGCACGGCAACAATGACATCAGACGTTCCGTTGAGGCAGGTAATTTGAAGCACATTAGCCTGTTACGCCTGATAGTCCAGACCGAACGTCATTGCCTCTGCAAAGACAATCTGTGTCAAAGTCCACGAGCGAGCCCACCTGACGCCACTATCTCAACGACGTCACCTAACCCGCCGCGCCAATGTGTGTTACACAATGCACGGCGAGCTCCCTCAACCCGCGAACCCGATAGTAGTTCGACGATGCAAGCGGTGCCATCCAGTCTGGCAAGTCTTATGCAATGCATGGCAACATCACTC